TTTTCGATCACATCTCGTAACAAGTTCACACGCGTGTGTATTTGTTAAACTATATAATAAACATCTCTATTATTATTTGTATTTTGTTGCTTGTTGTTTAATTTAAAACTACTACGCAATAAGTTATGGACCCAGTAAACACGTGCATTTCATAAAAGTTATTTTATTATTGGGAGTAGTGTATGTTGTGCGTGAGTAGTGTAAAATCGTGGCCGTTTATTTTCGAATCGTGCATTTATCGGTGTGAACAATGTTGACTCATGAAGAATTACGTATGCCAGTCTTATCCAAATTGAACTACCAGTGATGGAAGTTTGAAGTTACTTCGTGCCTCGAGAGCGTTGGAGTATACGAAATCGTAACAGGGGTTGAGGCATGTCCGAACGTTGGAACCAGTTTTGCATATATCAGAGAATGGATAAAGAGGGATGCTAAAACCAAGCGCATCATATCAGGAGGCTTGAACGACGAAGATCATGCATGTATCAAGGAGTGTGAGAACTCGGAACAGGTTTGGAAGAAAATGAAGTCTACGTACAAGGCGCAGACAGAATCAAATAAATATTTGCTCCGTCAGGCACTGAATTCGATAAGGCTTCTCGAATGGCAGTCTGTGCCCAGTTATTGCGCAGAGCTTACCATTATTGTACAGAACTTGATGATTGCTGCTGAGATGGTTGCAGACTTGCTATTAATTTTTAAATTAATGAGAGATATGCCTCCAAAGTTTACTTTCCGAGAGTAGTATTTAATAATGGCGCCGACCGGACAAGTGTTGAGCTTTGTGAAGCTGAGGGAGCAACTGTTGTTGTTAAACATCTGCGAAAGTACGGATAATGTTCTGTCGAACAATCCAAACAAAACAAAGTTCGACAAGAAATCAAACAAAGTGATTCTTGTAGTGTGTTCTTCCAAAGAGTATCGTTTGTACCAACACTCAACTGCGAAGGTCATCATTAGTCGCAATGTAGTTATCAATAAAGTGGTACCATAATCTTCAGACGTAATGGATGTGTTCCCGGAAGAAAACACTGTGGAAGCTGATACTGATTGGGTCAAGGAAGTTTCAAGAATTGTGGACAGGACACGCTCAAAAGCAAGCCAAAGCAGGTGTTGTGTTGGAAGCGGAAAGTGAAGCAGTTGATGTGCCGTATAGACAGTTGGTCGGCTCATTAATGTATTTGGCGGTAGATACTAGACTTGAGTTAGCGTTTGCGGTAGCGCAGTTAACCAAATTTCTGCAATTCTAGCAATTATTGCAAGCAAGAAAACGTATTTTTCCTTGGCAGCTCACGGCATATTTCCGGCTTCTTCCCAATGGCGGACCAGTGACTTGGCCACATCAACAACTCGTGTTTGAGTCGATCAAACCCCTTTTTGTAATCGATGAAACAAGCATTTATATCTTGTTTCATATCCATACAGCTTTGCACTAAACTAGCATATTAGAAAGAGTGCCACGTGTTCTAATAGTATATTAAGTAACAAGTGGCAAACAAGGGCATTACAGACGAGATTGAGAGCGAGTGCACGTTTAGTCACGAGGTGCTTACGATATTTTTTCTACTTTCACTCTACGAGTAGTTCCACGTTGCAGTTTTTGTATTTCAATTTTTGTATTGTAAATAATCGAAATTTGCTCACACACTTATGGTGCGATTCTGAGCAGCACACGAAGTGCCGTACTGTCGAACTAACGCAAATTACGATTCTGAGTGGCCAACGGAGGTTTGGAGGGTTCGGGTCGCCTCAATCTTCCGAGCAGCTTGAGGGTGCCGATAGCTTTCGTTATATGTTATACGCATGCGCTGCTCTCTTGGCGCGACTGAAACTGCCTTACCGCAGCTCTTCGTTCTTACTCACACCCGCACTCGCTGTCTGCTGTCTCAGTCTGCCTATTCATCGAAATTGGTAAAGTGGAATATTTTGACGAGCCGTGTGCTCAGCAGATGTGAAAAAAGATGAAGATGACAAGGAATGGCACGCATCGAGTGTATCTGCATTTTTCAAATGCAAAATTCCACGTTTTCAAGCAAAAATTCCAAATTCAAAAAAAAACTCGTAAAACCAATAAATTTTAGATGAATATTTTGTCAATTTTTCACAAGTATTTGCTGATAATGAGCCAAATACGTAGCATGTAAAAGATTATTTATATTTTTCGATTACGTTTCTTAAAATGTAATTTAAAATCGAAACAATGAATAATAACAACTTTTGATTGCGACTATTCAAACGTCAGTATAGAACCGAAATAGAAATAATAAGTATTAATACATATTTGATGCATATTTGGATAATTGAAGAACCCATAGATTTGAAACTCGCGCGCTTTCTGGCAAATTCTATCGTGTAGCGGGGTTGACTTTAGGTAAAGTTACAGATGAGCGCACAGAATACCACTTAAGGCCGAACCATACCTTGGCCGTAAGAAGCGTCTCGGAGCTTTCGTACGTTCGTTCGTTACGTGGTGAACACAGAATCGCACCATCTATGCCGCGCGCCGGCCCATGTGACGCTTCGATTCATATCGTGTCGCTCCGATACGAGCAGCAGCAGCGCCTACTTTGACGTGTTTGAGTGACGTCCCATGGCATTTCATACCGCCTTGTGCTGCTCCGTAGGCAAATATGCAGGCGGCTGCTCCGTCCCGTGCATTAATGCAAGTACATAATGAATATGATGTACGGCTTGGTCGTCCGTATATAAAGTACCACGTTTTGGGTCTAAATGCCGTGGAGAAACTGACGTTTTATAGGTGGAAGTTGAAAAATTTCTTTCTGCGCTTCAAAATTATTTTCAGATATGTCTTGAGTACATGACTAATAAAGCTAATCTTTTGCTATTCCTCACACCAATTGGCATTTTTTTTGTTTTGGTAGTGTATTGATGAATAATTGATGGCAATCTCTTGGTATTTCTACACAATCATAGATCAGATTGAATAGTTTGGTTAGTTTATCTATACCATCATCCTCAATTTGTTTCATCATCTTTGCATAAATGTTATCTGAGCCTGGTGTTTTTCTATTATTTGGTTAACGCGTATTTACCATCATCCGGAAGAATCTCTGGCCCGTGTTTTGCTATCTCTATAGCTTCACTTGCCATCCTTTTCTTTCGGACAATTTACTTTATTGTGTTATGTGGGTTAGGTTAGGTACGTTAAGTAGTGGAAGTAGTGGTAGAACCAAAGAACAAAACTGATGGAAATACCGCCAAAATAACGCGTCATCTTTTTTCACATCTGCTGAGCACACGGCTCGTCAAAATATTCCACTTTACCAATTTCGATGAATAGGCAGACTGAGACAGCAGACGAGCGAGTGCGGTTGCGAGTGAGAACGAAGAGTTACGGTAAGGCAGTTTCACCCGCGCCAAGAGAGCAGCGCATGCGTATAACATGTTACGAAGGCTATCGGCACCCTCAAGCTGCTCGAAAAATAGAGGCGACCCGAACCCTCCAAAAGACCTCCGTTGACCACTCAGAATCGCAATTTGCTTTCGTTCGACAGTACGGCACTTCGGGTGCTGCTCAGAATAGCACCATCATGGTGCGATTCTGTGTTCACCACTTTACAAACGAACGTACGAAAGCTCCAAGACGCTTCGTACGGCGAAGTTATGGATCGGCCTTAAGTGGTATTCTGTGCGCTCATCTGTAACTTTACCTAAAGTCAACCCAGCTGCACGATAGAAATTGACAGAAAGCGCGCGAGTTTCAAATCTATGGGTTCTTCAATTATCCAAATATGCATCAATTATGTATTAATACTTATTATTTCTATTTTTTGAACGTGTTTCAAATTTATTCTTTTATATTCAAATATTTTAATCTATATATTTTTTTTAATAGTGCCTTAAATAAGTTTTTCAGTTGATACGCATTTATTTCTTTATGACGAACGGTTAAAAATGTTTTGGGAATTTGTGGGACTTTTTCTTGAATGTTTGAAAATTAGAAAGTTGTAGTTATAATGCGAGTAGTATATTGTTCATAGTAATATAGTTCAATTCATTGAGGTTGTAAAATAGCTGGTAACTCTCTTTTTTGGGATATCGTTTATTGCGCTTAATTTTTTTCACATCTGCGATGTACGTTTATCCTCCTCCTACAACTTTTATCTACACTTTTGGGGTGGTAGTTGGAATAAAAAAAAACGGAGAGTGGTCAGTTCGTCTTGAATCACAACCCTGACTACACAAATTCCACAGAAGTTTTTCGCGAAAAGTTCTCAAGTTAAAATGTTGTAAGTACAAGAAAACTTTATTCTATATTCTATATTCTATAAACACTTTATTCTCTATTTATCAGTAAACGTAAACGTGCAACAAATACTTCGGTCGCGCAATATGATATTTATTTATCCATGATGGAGAGCGATTGTACGTTCAGGAGTGGCACCGTAAACCCAACCATGCCGCCAAATTACATTAATCAATGCTGGGTGGACCTCAGCAAGAAATTAAATAGCTGCGGCGATGGGCCAGTCCTCACGAGTGAGGAGTGGAAGAAACGCTTCGGGGACTGGAAGTATTGCACCAGAAATAAATTTCGCAGGATGGAAGTGCACCGGAAGGCTACGGGTGGCGGCCCGCCGACGACCGCAGTTGCCGGAATTGAGGGGGCCCCTTTGTACGAGGGGGTCCCTCTGGAAGATCCGGTAGCAAAGGCGGAGGAGGAGCCAAAAACCCCATCCGTTTTGGCTTCCATGCTTTTGGAGCCAACAATAGCGACCGCGACCCCACAGCGCCACATCGACACCCCACAAAAAAGTACCCGGAGGACGTCAGCGATGGCCATGTCCACCCAGGAGGTGATAGCCACCTGCACTAAATCTACTGACGCCATCACAGCGCAGACAGAGGCCATCAAGGCGCAGACAGAGGCCATCAATGCGCAGACAGAGGCAATTCGAGAGCTGGTGCAAGTTGTTAGAAATAAATAAATGAATGAGATTCAAAACAATTTTAATTTATATTTATATTTAATATCTAATTTATTCAAAGTTTTCTATAATATACCTATTCCTAATTTCTTTACCTTTATCCAACAAATGTCGGTCTTCTTGTATTGTATGTTCAGCTGGGTCAGGTGCGTCAGGCGCGCCAGGCATGACGTCCACGTCATCCATATTCCGCCGCGCTGCAAAATTATGCAATATGCAGCACGTGGATATAATTCTGGATGACCTCCGGGGATTATAATGTAAGGTACGATGCCTCAGTAGGCACCGAAACCGTCCCTTCAGAACCCCGTTCACCCGTTCCACAACATTCCTCGCCGACGTTAGTAACGTGTTGAATCTAACTTCATTGGGGTTCTGTGGGTTGTGGAACGGTGTGAACAGCCACGGTTCCAAAGGATAGCCACTATCCCCAATTAAATAAGTCCGCTGCACACCTCCCTCAAACTGGCGTTTCAGTAATTTTCGAATTGAGGTCATATGCCAGATCGCAGCATCATGAACTGATCCTGGCATCCTTGCCGAACAGGCTGTTATAACTCCGTTGGAATCCACAATCTGAAAGTACATCTCACAATGTAAATTACCAAGATATATATGATGTATGTTCCACTTACCAGCATAACATTGATAGAATGTCTGCCCTTCCTATTAATGTACACATGTGGCGGATCGTCGAAATTTGTTGACGCTGGAGCGACAATTTCCACATGTGTACCATCAATGGCTCCAATCACACCACGAATTTCATATTTATCGAAAAACCTACAATATAATTAATAACAAACATATATATATATAATAAATTTAAATCAATTGTATACCCTTCTTTAACTGCCAGTTGAGCTTCTGCACAAATGGGAAACTCCACATACTTCCGAAATAAATGGCAGACAGCTGCATCCGTTACTTGAACTTTGGCTCAATGATGACCAGACACATGAGCCAATGTTGTTCTGGTATGCCCCAGTTGCCAGAAATCTTAAAGTAGCTAAAAACTGAAGTCAAATATTTAAGCTGTACAGTTTGTGTATAATGTGAAAGTTTACCTTGCATAATTTGGGGATACCATCCATTTTTAAATATGGCCCAATTTCGGCCATAAAAGCAACAACAGCATCCACATCAAATCTAAACAATTGTCGAAATTGTCTCGGCGGAATTTCCAATGGATTGCTCGAATCGCGCAGCCGACGACGTTGGAGTCTCATATAATTTCTTAAATTACAATGCGTGTAACAAATCGTTTTGATTATTTTATATTTTCTTACCTCCTATAGTCCGCTTCAAGCAAAAATGTCACAATTAATAGGTTTTCCATTTTGAAAGTAGAAAACTGTACTGTACTGTATTTTGGAAATACCGCCAAAATAACGCGTCATCTTTTTTCACATCTGCTGAGCACACGGCTCGTCAAAATATTCCACTTTTCCAATTTCGATGAATAGGCAGACTGAGACAGCCGACAACGAGTGCGGGTGCGAGTGAGAACGAAGAGCTGCGGTAAGGCAGTTTCACCCGCGCCAAGAGAGCAGCGCATGCGTATAACATGTTACGAAAGCTATCGGCACCCTCAAGCTGCTCGAAAAATTGAGGCGACCCGAACCCTCCAAAAGACCTCCGTTGGGCACTCAGAATTGCAATTTGCCTTCGTTCGACAGTACGGCACTTCGGGTGCTGCTCAGAATAACACCATAACTTCCAGGAAGCCATTCGTAAGAGGGAGGCGAGACACATATACGCATCCACTTCAGTAGCCTCATTTACCATAACACCGGGACCAGATTACACACACCACAATCTTGAGTCAGTTACATTTTTTATAACTGCATACTTGCACTGTTAGGTTAGGTTAGGTTAAACTAACTAAATTCATAACAAGTTTCTAAATACATTTTATACAATATCTGTTATGCAAATGGGGCTTATTTTTCTTAGCTTTCCTGTTAATTCATTTTGTATCAATTGTCGGGTGTTTGAATCTTTTAGATTTCTTGGGTCTATAATTTGAATATATTTTTTTGATATATTTTAGACGATTTAGATTTTTTTTTGATTTTTGCTTTGAAATCGCAGGCGGTAGGCGGTTTTAAGTTGTATAGAAGCTGAGATAAAAATTATTGTAAATGAGAGAAATCGACTTTTTTAAAAATTCGTATTTTTAAAATTGTATTGTGTTTCAATAGTCAAGTGTTAATCTCACATCACACATGGTTAAATATTGCTAAAAATGTGCAAAGGAATACTTTACCTTAAACTAAAATTAACGCCAGTTTGAAGTATGACGAAAACCGAAATAATTATTCAAATTGGCAAAGATGATCAAATAAGTATAACTGATGATACCGCTAGTGTCGATGAAAATCTCAATCAGCTGTCAACTAATACAGGTAATACGTTTAAGTCCACGTCTTGGGGTGATACATGGTGTTATATCAGAAAAATTGTAACCGTGAAACCGCTACTAATGTTTTACATGCTTGGATTAAATTTGGTACGTCCAGCTTTCGAAAATCTCATGTTGCAGACAGGCTGTCTTGTTGATTCTTGATTTGGCGACATAAGTTGCCAATGAATTATAGCGAGAGAAAGTGCAGAGTTTAATCTCACTAAAGAAATGAATACTGGATATTTACATATTACTAATACGTTTTTTTGGGTTAGAGCTTATTACAATTATTTTTCCATTAATTTAGATTTAGTACACGTTTTCTGTTACTATCCTTGTGTGGGGAAATATTGTTAACAGTTTGTTGCATACTATCTACGATATTCCTGCGACAATGGAATTTAATGACCTTGCTCTCAGCGTACTTTATGAGTACTTTTCTGCCTTGGAGGTCAAACACTTCTTGTTGATGCATCAATGCAACGGCTATGTTAATTGTGCAGATCTCGCCAAATGCATTGAGTGAAATTCTTCTTAAACAGATCGGATAATGTGTCATTTTTGTACATGCGTCTGTATTATGTTGCTGGGTCTTTTATACGGAGTATTTTACATCAAAATCGTTGGTAAGAATTATTGGAACATTATTTTGTCTATGGCATTTTTATAAATTTACACCTAAGTTTTTCAAAGTAAACAACATAAACATTATGATGGAATTAGTGTATCTTTTCTAACTTTTAAAGAAGGTGATTTTTTTGGATTTGATGGTCGTACTAGGATTTGACGTACTAAACGTCGGGTCGTTACATGCCGTTACAGATTCTACTTTAATACTCTAATTTAATCAGGTAACTTTTATAAAGCTATACTTATTGCGTTTTTATGGATAAACATTTTGTAAGTCTTATTCTTGGAACGTACTTTTTGCGAAGGTGTTCAAGTCTACTGATTATTATATTTGTATAAATCAATATAATGATTAGCCAATATTGTAATGGCTGCTGTCGTCAATAAAATAATAATATACAGTGGAACGTATGCTGATACCAAAAATCATATTTACTTACAATTGCAATTTCGTTTTGAAGTGTTTATATTGAATTGTTCAATACCGTAAGATCGTGGTGTAAGATTGCTTGCAACTAAAGTGGTTTGTCAAGGAGATCGGGGAATAGTGCAGTCATTTTTCGGAAGATAGTAATCGATAATGATTGATCACAATACGTAGGCAAAATATAAAATTGCAAAAGTAAAGTTAAATAAAAAAAATAATGAGGAACTTATATTTATTACACAATTGCTACCTTTCTCGCATATACCACGTCTGAAAATCCCATGAAAATAAATCATTTGTAAATTCTTGAAAGAACAAAAAATGTATGGATATAAATCACAAATATACAATTTACCCACTTACAACAGTAAAAATGATAACAAAAAGTCACACAGTACAATCCCAATATAAAAGAATTCGATTGTAATACTACAATCGGAGCACCAATTAAAATGCAGTACTGCACTGTAAAGGTATAAATAAATATAATGCAAAGTATTACTGAAGTAGTAGTTGTTTTTAGTTATGAAGACGGACTAGAAACTTACTTATACTTATTTACTTGTTTTGAATATTGTGAATGTCGTACCATTAATATGTTTAACTACAAGTATCTCCTTCAAGTATTCTGTTTTGGTATTATTTTGGTTGTTCAGAAAACTATGCAAAACACAACGTTATGTACTTTTCCACCTGGGTTTAAATTTGGCACGGCTACATCTGCGTATCAAATTGAAGGCGCATGGAATGTTTCCGGTAAGATACTCGTAGATCGAAAAACAAAAATATTTGATTATAATTTAATCTAGGTAAGACTCCAAGTATTTGGGACTTTGCAACACACAACAATTTTGAAAGTATTATAGATCGCAGTAATGGCGACATTGCATGCGATTCCTATAATCAAATCGACGTGGACATTGCAAATTTACAGCTGCTCAATGTAAGTTTTTATCGCTTTTCGATCAGTTGGACCCGTTTATTACCAAACGCAGGCAACAACTTTATCAATCCAGATGGCGTGCGGTATTATAACGAAGTCATTGACAAATTAATCGCACACAACATCGATCCGATGGTAACCATTTTTCATTGGGATTTACCGCAGAGTTTACAAGATCTTGGAGGATGGACAAACAAACTCACTATTGAATATTATTTACAATTTGCAAGAACTTGTTTCAGTTTGTTTGGCGATCGTGTTAAAACTTGGATTACATTTAATGAAATTAGTATGTATTGTGTTTCGGCATATGACAAGAAAAGTCTTGCTCCATTTGCATCTTTATCAGGAATAGGAACTTATTTATGTGCACATTATATGTTACTTGCACATGGAAGAGCTTATCGCATTTATAAAAAAGATTTTATACATCAAAAAGGTAAGCTTTAAATTTAATTAACAAAAACACTATTTATATCATGTTTAGGAATTGTGGGTTTGTCAATTGATTCGCCCTGGTATTTCCCGGCAACAAATACTGCAAATGACAAGATGGCTGCTATGCGTGCTATAATTACTGGCGTAAATATTTAGGTATAATTTTAAACCAGCAAAATTTTAATCAAAAACATTATTTATTAGTTTGACTGGCTGGCACATCCCATATTTTCTCAAACTGGCGATTATCCCTTATTCATGCGTAAAAGAATAGATTACAACAGTAAACAGCAGGGTTTCAAGGAATCTCGTCTACCACGTTTTACCACTAAAGAAAAAGCAATTCTTCAAGGCAGTGCCGATTTTTTAGGGTTAAATCATTATACAAGTAAACTAGCATCAATGCCCATGTCAGAAAAAGCAAGTGAAATGACGAGTTACGAAATCGATAGAAGTTTTGACATTTCATTTGATCCAAAGTGGCCTAAATCAGCAAGAAATCATTTTAAAGTGGTACCGCAAGGTTTAAGGAAATTACTACTTTACATTAGGGACACCTATAACAATCCGATAGTTTATATCACCGAGAATGGTTATGCTGGGGACCACTCTGAGTACATTGATGATCACGACAGAGTTAGTTACACTAACGTATGCTAATATAAATTGTGCATTTTAATAGATTTATAATAATTAGTCTTTTGATAGCTATATCTGACGGAAATCTTGAAAGCAATCGTCATAGATAAATGTAATGTGACGAAATATACATCTTGGTCTTTTATGGATAATTTTGAATGGCATGACGGCTATACGTAGGAAACTTAGTTTCAAATACTTATATGTACACATTTTTACAATTGTGTTTATTTTAGATTGCGATTTGGAATGTTCCACGTAGATTTTAATGACCCGAAGAGGAAACGAACGCCTAAAAAATCCATGTATGCTTATAGAAATATTATTAGGTTTGGTACCCTCCCCAGATGTCTTAGTTTTGAAAAATCCATTTAATACACTTAGAATTCACTTACATTTTTATCACAATAATATTCAACTAGTTAAACAGCGGACCCCGTTTTTGAAATGTAAAGTGTATGTTGACGACTGAATCGTGTTTTTAAAACGTTCACCAAGGTTAAACATGTAGTATTTCCATTAGTACATATTAAAAAGAGATAATAATAATGTTTGCTTGGTTTGACTTTTACCTACAGTGTAATATGTTATTAAATGTTTAAACAAAACTAAAAACATTTGTATGTTATAGGTAGATAGTTACTTTGATAAGACCTAAGCATTAAGTTCAAGGTGGATATATATGGGGTCGTGACCGGACATTTGCCCCCAAGACGATCGCTCACACGACAACTGCCCACAGTCATAACTGCGCACACGGACAATTGCTCACAGGATTTTTGCTCACATTGACAATTGCTCACAGGACTTTTACTCACACGGACACTCAGGCACACAGACAATTGCTCACAATTTAATATTTTTTATTATTTTTTTAAACAATGAATAATAATTATGAAATAATTTATATACAACTATATAACAATTAAGGAGGCCCTCACGAAAATGCCATTAGTGTTTGATTTTTCAAATAAACTATTTGTTCATTCTATCTTAATTAATTAGCAATAAATAGAACTCTTTGAAGTTTCACTCTAGTATACCTTACACATAATTTTTAATAATTACATAAATTAAATCTAATATATGAATAATTGTAAATTTAACAATTTCCTAAGACATTGCATTATTATTCATTGTTTTAATAAATGGCAAAAATTAAATTGTGAGCAAAATTGTCCGTGCGTGAGCAAAACCGTGAGCAATTGTCAATGTGCAACAGTGCCTGCGAGTAATTGTCCGTGTGCGCAGTTTGGGTGACTTCGTGAGCGTTGGTTCAGAGCAGTTGTCGTGTGAGCGATCGTCTTGGGGGGCAATTGTCCGGGAACCGCTATTCTGAGCAGCACCCGAAGTGCCGTACTGTCGAACGAACGCAAATTGCGATTCCGGAGTGGCCAACGGCGTCTTTGGAGGGTTCGTCGCCCTTCTACCTTTTGAGCAGCTTGAGGGTGCCGATAGCCTTCTGTGTAACATGTTATACGCATGCGCTGCTCCCCTTTGGCGCGGGTGAAACTGCCTTACCGCTGCTCTTTCGTTCTCACTCACCCGTACCCCGTTGTCTGCTGTCCTTTGGTCTGCCTGTCTTATCGGTAAAATTCGGTAAAGTGGATTTTGACGAGCCGTGCCCAGCAGATGTGAAAAAGATGAGGATGACAAGGAATTGCACGCATCGAGTGTATCTGTATTTTTCAAATGCAAAATTCCACGTTTTCGCTAAACACAAATTAAAAAAACTCTTAAAACCAATAAATTTGAGACAGAATATTTGTCAATTTTTCGCCATTGCTGATAATGAGCCAAATACGTAGCATATAAAAGATTATTTTATATTTTGATTGTGTTTCTTCAAAGGTAATTAAAAACTCACGTAAAATTGGAACAAGAGCTCAACCTGACGACTTTTCAAACGTCAGTATATAGAACCGAAATAAAATAATGCTATTACCATATTTATGTACATTAAAATTGAAGAACCCATACATTTGAAACTCAAGTGCGCTTTCTGTCAAATTTAGGTGCAGCGGGATTACCTTTATGTGTAAAGATATATGTTCAGAATACCACTTATGTATGAATCCATAACTTCGCCGTAAGAAGCGTCTCTGAGCTTTCGTACGTACGTTCGTTACGTGGTGAACACAGAATAGCACCATTTTAAATCCGACCCTTTTGATTTAGCTTTCGAAACTTTTCCATTCTTTTCTACCCTTGAGAAAAACGTTTATTCGAATTTTTTCAATTTTTTCCCTAACCTTAAAAAGTTATGAATTTTTCAAAAAAATGACAATTACTTTTCAAATAGCCATAACTCTGTCCAAAATTAATCTATTGATACTTTTTTTAATATTTTTGCTTTTGAATGAATTTTTCTTACAAACACATTTTTGAAAAAAATAAGAACTATGAAATAATCGCGTTTTTGAGTAATATTGTAATTTTTTCTAAAGTTCGACATTATAAAAAGAATTTTTTCTTTTCGTCAAACAAAACTTCAAATTTTTGACAATTTTTCCGCTAATCCCAATTTAAAACTGATTTTTCTTTTTATATTTATATATTTAATTGAAAGAAGAAAAATTGTCATTTGCGCTGAGTACTTTTTTTAATTAAATAAATCTATCTATATGTAATCTTGCTCTCGAATAAAACAACCCGACCAATTTTCTACGAATATTTTTTTATTACATTAGTTAGGCGGCCGAAGCCAGTACATGTACAAAGACGGAACGGCGATCTTGCTTACCTACGAAAATTGGTTTTCAAGCCGTCTACGCTGAGGTGATTTTATACTGTCGTAACACTTATAATAATTGTCTGCATACTAATCACTTTTCGGCCTCTCAGTGTCTTCCTCCGCACTCATTCGTGCCAACTCCAGAAAAGTGCGAGTCACTAGCTTCCGTTAAACGGGAATTTCCCTTCTACATATATATAATGGATCTGAATACGAAATATGACGCCATCTAGACATAAGAAGATGAATCAGCTAATGAGGTGCAGTCTTGCATCGATGTGGTCTGGGTGTGCGTCTTCGAGTAAGAGCGACAAGCGAGAAGGGAGCCCCGAAGGCTGCCTTCGAGGAAAGGAGAATCATGTATGAAGACACTACCTGAGAGCACCGTTGAGCGCGCACCCAGAACTCATCCTTCCCCAAGTTACGCCGATTCACTCCGCTTTGTTTAATCTAAGATATACTTGTTTTGCAATAAATGGCGCGTAATTTGAATTGGAATGTTGTTAATGTAGTTGAGGAGGAGGTGTATCCGACATCAGAAGTGGATCTTGATCCACTGCGATCTTAATTTGAATCTAGTGAAAAGTGCGATAGAAAAAGTGACAATGATAAAGAAAAGTGGAGTCAGTTATTACAAGTGCAAAATAACAATATGCGTAATCTTATTGAAGCTGCTGATAAAACCCCAGGTGACCGAACAATTTTAATTTGTCGAATTTAATCCGATGATCGTGATGCTGACGCGCGTGCTTGGTGTTCCATGGCAGAGTTATGTATTGCGACAAGACCTGACGGGTGCCAAACTAATTATGACGTTAAGCAGAGCACCGAAGGGTGCTGCATCATCGTGGTTGTCGCAGATCTCCTACCCGGATATTTCTGGAAGATTTTAAATCATTAGTTTGGCGTATCGATTTATTCATCAGAGACGATGACTGCGTCTCTAATAAATCTACAGAAATGGAAGGCCAACATGAAAATTTGAGTAATTTACGCGGGACGACTCTTCAACTCGTTGATGACTAACTGGAAGACATGCGTCCATCGAGCAAATCGCCACTGCGACCATATTAACGCATACATTGCTCAATCTTACAATCGAGTACAGCGTATGTCATCTCACCAACGAAATTCAGACGAGACAGCAATTACAAAAGGAGTTGGCGTTTACCCTCTTTTAAACGACCAGCCGCAGTAGACAATGCTTCGCAACGCCCGCATAGGTATGCGAAGAACTTCATCATTCCAACCCAAGATGACGAAGTGTTTCAACCGTACCACTTGGGACATCACTGCTTTAATTGCCCGAGAAGCGAAGATGCTGCCATCTGAAATTACCCCTCAGCCGTCCACATCGGGGAGCGTCAAACAGCGGAAGATGTGCTTCAAATGCGGCATCTAATACCGCCAACCGCTGCAGGAAGAATGATAATTTGTCGTGGGCGACGGTCAACGTTCCCAGTTGATTTACCTGAGGTACTTTTTAAACATAACGGTGTCGTAACCCTTTTGATTTGATTCTGGAGAGAAAGGAGAGAATTAGTAAAAGAAAGTATTGCACGAAATTTCTGCGGGAAGAAATTTTATAATTCAGTTACGATGATTGGAATTGGTAAGGCAAAGTAAATTCGTTTTGAGCAAATATTGTGTCAAGTTGAAATTCAAAGTCACTTTGTTGAGATCTTGTTTCACGTCTTGCCTGATTTTACTGATTCATGACGTATTGCTGGGTCGTGAGATTTTGAATCAAGATTTTACTGCGATAATAACTAAAAGTCTATTTCAACTTAAAAAGAGCTTTGAAAACATCCACCTCGTGTGTTCCAGACAACACAACTTTTAAATTAGAGAAATCTAGACACACATATTTCCAGCTTGTCAAAAAGCAAAACCTCGAAAGCGTGAGAAGTGGTAGTTTCTCTGAATACTTTGTGACCAAATGCCATTAACACGCGTAAACACGGGCAATAATTTGAGATCAGACTCAACAAAACAGTACAAAGACGCCCTTTATCGTCTCTCATTCGAAGAAAGAGAATCAATGCGTGGGAAAAGTCAAAGAACTTTTTAGACGCAAGTCCAGACTGTTATGGAGGAATTTTAATGCAGATAAAAGAAAACAGAAGAAACATGTAGTTGCGTATTACACAGGTCAACACAAAATTTGCCTTTTCGTTTAAAGGTTTAATTTCGATAATTTAGGTCATACCGAAAAAAAAATATATGACATAAAAGAAGTTTGTTTCTGTACCAGAATTCAGATTTAACAATATTTTCAAAAATTTGGGATTTTTATGTTTAATTAAGGATAGAACTATACAAATAACCTAATTTATCATTTTCACAAATTTTATTATTAAAATAACTATAAAAAGTGAAATATAGTTTAAAAGTGTACATTTTTGCTCTTTGTGATCATAAGTGCTTTCTCTCAATAAACCCTAGATATAATCTCCCATCATATTTTCGTTAAGTATTGGCCTTGATATCGTTGTTGTTCGGAAGTTCTTGATCCTGATGAAAACGTTCTCCGTTTTCGGAATATGCCCCATGTTATTTTTAAACTTATCTATGCATGTAGCATATGTGTACTTTCAATGACATCCTGCAACCATGGCCTTAAAATTTTTCACCATGTCTTCAACTAATTTTTCGTAGCTTTTTAGCTTGTTATTTCCTAAGAATCCTGTTACTACGCTTTAAACTTCGATCCAACTTGCTTTTTGGGTGTGATTTCAATGAACTCAAGAGATGAGCTACTGGAGATAAATTTTTGGTGGTGAAGGAATTGGTCGTCAG